CAATGGGGCCAGCAGCCCCACTGGGTCACAAAAATGCAAATACATGAAAGTGAAATCAGTGAAGCATTCTGCGCCTCCTCTGCACTGGCCACGTTTCACGTGCTCAGTAGCCACATGTGGCTGATGGCTGCACAGATGGAGGACACGTTCATCATTCCAGGCGGTTCTATCAGAAGACACCGGCTTCCATGGTCCAGTCTGATTCCTTCTATTTCCAAGTGAGAACAGGGGGTGAGTGGAGTTTTGTCACCCGAAAAGCATGTTCTATTTTGCTTTGAGCCCAGAGCAGTGTTGGTTGGTACCACGAAAGGCACACACACGTGGGGATACAAGAGACAGTGTCGACTTGTAGCAATGTTGGGATCCTGCTTGTGACACAGTAATAGACTTTTGCAAAAATGTTGCCACTGGGGAAAATGTTATTTCTTACAACTGCTACGAATCTACAGCTGTCACGGCACAAAACATTATCTGGATGACGGAGGTTTTTTGGCACCCCCTTAAATTTCACGCCCAGGGGAGGGTCCTAGCCCAGGACTGGAGTGGTGGCAAGCCGGCTTCTCACCATCGTGTGCCTGCAACCAGGCCCCCAGTGAAGGGATAAGTGGCCAGGGGTGACTCACTGGGCTGATGACCTCAGCTGGGGAGGCATCAGGGCTCCGACCCACAACTTTTATGTGGCCCCTGCACCTGCGGGGTGGATGCCCCTTTGAATGTGCAGATAAAACGCTGGCAACAGGGGACTTCCCTGGTGGTCCAGTGGTTAAGACGCTGCGCTTCCACTGCAGGGGGCACGGGTTCAATCCCTGGTTGGGGAACTAAGATCCCGCATACCGCGGACCAGCCAAAAAAACAAAACAAAAAAGCCCCACTGGCAACAGGCTCTTGTCCCTGTTTGTCTGCAAATCTCTGCTGGGGGACTTGTTCACCAGACGGCTCTCCCCAACGGCCTTTGGCACCAGCATCCTGGGACCCAGACCCTGGAGGCCTCCTTGGTTCCAGAGCCAAGGATGCAGCGCTGGACAAGCCCCCTCTTGTTGGTGTCCCAGGTTTCTGCCGCCTCTCAGGAGGTCACAAAAGGGAAACTGAGGCCGGGGAGAGCTGGAGTTGGCAGACGTGACAGAAACCCCACGGCGTCTTCCCGAAGTTGCCCACAGACCCCAAACCCTATGTGCCGGGGAGCGTGATGCCCTTTGGACGGAGGGGATGAATACAGCCCAGTGTGGGGACCGGAGAGGGTTCACGGCACACGATGGCCCAGGGCCGATGGGTTCCAGATGCCCATCCAAATGCCAGAGGCAGGCGAGGTGTCTTGGCAGGTGACGCTCTTCACCCAGGTTCCCCGCCCCCAAGAAGCCAGCCCTCCCTCCCTCGCCAGCTCACCCCATGCAGGCTTCCACCAACGGGGTAAGTCCTTCCTCACGTCGGACTTGATTTCATCAGGCTTCGCTTTAAACCAGTTTCTCCTCCTTCTGGGTGAGTCTAAGACCAGGACAGGCCGCAGTTTCCTGAGATGGAACAGTGAAAGAGGTTGTGAGATGGGATATGATCCACGGGGAGGACTTGGGCTGGTGACTGGTGACAATGGCGGGAACAAAACCTGCACAAATCCCTACACTCTGGGGTGGAGACACCTGTGCTGGTGATAAAACATTCCTCCACGCACTAATTGAGCACTCACTGTGTACCAGACTCAACACAGACTCGGTCCCGTCGTCTTTTTCATTCTTATTTAGGAGAAATTCACAGAACATGAAATTCACCCATTTAAAATGAACACTTCAGGGACTTCCCTGGTGGTCCAGTGGTTAAGACTCTGCTCTCCCAAAGCAGGGGGCACGGGTTCCATCCTTGGTCGGGGAACTAGGATCCTGCCTGCCGCACAGCGTGGCGAAAAAATAAATAAAATGAACACTTCAGGGGTGTTTAGTACGTTCACAGAGCTATGTAACCATCACCTCTAGTTCCAGAACATTCCATCCCCCCAAAAGAAAACCAGTGCCCATCAGCAGTCACCCCCACCCCTCCACAGCCCCCGAAAACCAGCAATCCACTCTCTGTCTTTGTGAATTTGCCTGTTCCAGACATTTCACGTAAGTGGGATCACACACTACGTGGCCTTTTGTGTCTGTGTCTTTTTTAGTTCACTTTATTCTTTAAAATAAAATTTCTTTTTTAAAAGACACTATTAGGTTCACAGAAAAACGGCGAAGACAGTACAAAGTTTCCAGATACTCGCCCTGTTTCCCCTACTCTTAACACCGTACATCAGCATGTGTGGCCCTCTTGCGTGTGCGGGGCAGGGTGGAGGGCAGCTCCCGAATCACACATGTGATTCGCCGTGATCTCTGGGTGACAGATCCAGTTTGCAGATGCCCCGGACCAGCTGAAGCACCTGCCGTGAGCCCGTGAGCCCCGTTTACTGAGGTGCAGACAGGTGGCCACGGTCGCCAAGTTGGGAAAGGCTTCAGCTCCTCCGGCTCCGGGATTTTCCTGCCACTCCTCCAGGGGACGTGGAAGGGGCGGGATCGGCCAAGAGGAAACCGCAAACATCAAATGTACAGCGGCAGCTCCGAGAACAAGCTGTGCCTGGCAGCTGCAACTTGGCAGGCGGCACGGGGCAGGCAGAGGTCAGCGGCGGGGCCTGGAGGGGATGGGCAGAGCTCGGTGCCACCTAGGAGGGCGGTGGCTTGGCATGCGGCACCCACCCCATTCCCCCCACATATACCGGGCCAGGCAAGGGACGGGGCGGGGCCTGGAGGAATTGGGAGGGGGACTGCGGGGTTTGAGAGGAGGGCTCTAGCAGGCGCTCAGCGGTAGGGCCAGGCTCCAAGGTGCGCCTGAAGGTTCCTCTGGAAGGGCCAGGTGGGGGAGGATGCCACCTGGCGAGCCTGGGATCCTGGGCAGGAGAGGGGATCCTAGCGCATACACCTTGCCAGGAGGCCTTTTGGACAGCCCGGAGAGCCCCCCTCTCACCGCCCCGCCAACATGCAGGCTGTCCCCGGGCGCTGGCAGACACCCAGCATCTGTGCGCTCTGTGGCCTCCACCCTCACCAGGCCCGTCAGCCCTCACTGGACTGGCTGCAAGGATGACAATGGCTCTCGGGGTCCTTTGGGCCCCAAGCCCACACTCCACCTGGTGACAAGAACAGTCCTTCCAAAATGGCATCTGATGGGGTCCGTACCCTGTTCGCTTTCTTCCTACGGGTGTCCACCCAGGGGCAATGAAACAACCACTGGACAAACGTACACTGATGTTCACAGCATGACTCACGACTCAAAAGAGCGGGAACCTCCGTGTCCATCGATGGGTGATGGATAAACACAGTGTGGTCCAGATGATGGACCAATCACTCAGCCATGTAAGGGAGTGAGACACTGACACACGCTGCAACACAGATGGACCTCGAGGACGTGATGCTCAGTGAGAGAAGCCAGACACAGAAGGCTCCAGGGGCTGACCTGGACTGGCCCACCCTGGGACTGCCTGCTCCCGACCCCAGGCCCTGCAGAGACGACCACATCTACTTCTTTTTTGTCCCTCTCGCTGTACTACCTGCTGGCCTCCTCACCTGGCTCCTCTCAGATCCCCGTTGTCCGTTGAGGAAACTGACAAGCACAGCAGTCCTTAACCACTGGACTCCACTGCCACCCCCTTTTGGCTCCTGCCTGCAGGTAGCCCTCCCTCACCCACCGCCTCCCTCTCCACCCGCATGCCCCCCCAGGATCTGAAGTCAGCCCTAGACTGTCCAGCAAAACCCTGCCTACAGCAAGAACTTAATCATGGCTGAGGGGATGGAGTCTAGAGAGGGAGGCGGGCCAGACATGAGGGGGAGGTTTGGAACACCGGGTTTTATCGAATTAGGTTGCGCGGTCCAAAGACGCCCCTCCCCCACACAAAGCTGTTTTCCCATCTCCCTCTGGATCTGGGACAGCTGTGCGCTTGACCCCAACCTAAGCTCAGACGTGGGGAGGTGATGCAGGAAGGCTTCCGAGGACAGGCCGCTCAGATCCACCGGCCATGCTGCGAGGGAGCCCAAGCCACGCAGGAGGCCACGTGTGGGCACCTGGCCCTCGTTCCCAGCCGAGCCAGCCTTGGTGCCAGCCCAGCCCACACCTGCAGAGGAGTCTTTCCCAGCCGAGGACCCAGGTGTCCTGGAGCAGAGAGGAGCCAAGCCCACCCGCGCCCCATCTGAATCGGTGACTCACAGCATCACCAGGAATATCAAAATGCCTTCGGGCCACTAGGTTTGAGCAGCTCGTCGCAAGGCAACAGAAAGCAGGGTGCGGGCGCGCAAACTCGTTTTTATGACTTTTATTAAATCCTTACAAAACAGAATACAAAATACCGCGTTGACAGTTGGTGTAGAGGAAAACTTCTGAGCTGTGTCCGTTCACCTGGCGCAGCGGAGCTAAAGTGCTTGGACGTTTTTCCCCCACTTAAAAAAATTTGAGTTTTTTTTGTCTTTTTTACACATCTTAACGTTGAAACACTGCTGTGCCCCCTTCCCCCCAGCGCCAGGCTCGTTCACAGTAACGGTTCTGACCAGTCCTCCGGGCCGCACTGTCGTTGTGACAGGGGTGGGGGAGGAAGTGGCTGGCCCACCTTTGAGGAAAAAAAAAAAAAAAAGCTGCTCACAGCTCAGCTTTCCGGAGTAAAATGGCCATGGCGCCTGCAGCGGGCGAGAGTCCATTTGTTTCTTTTTTACAAAAAGGCAGAATCCTCGGTTGCAAAACGTGGAATCACTGATGGGCGAGAAATGATGGGGGGTGGCCTCCCCACCCCCGGAGTCTTTGGAAAGGCCAGTCCACAGATTGGCGGGCGGGCGGGACGGGGCGGTGGCCCCCCACCAGCCACCAAGGACGGCGACAATCTCCGAGACTCGGGGGACCGCAGAGACGGCACTCGAGCCCCCCACGCCTCGAGGCCCGCCCCCCCCCCACATTCAAGTATTCGTCAAGAACAGGGAAGGGAAGTCAGCTGATGTTCTGGAAAACTAACGAGACAGGACGAACAGCTAGGAGCCGGAGGGCGGTCTGGGCAGCTGCCCGCGCCCCCAACCCCGGCAGAAGCCCGTGTGCACGTGGAAAAGGAAGCCTGTGAATTGCATAGAGTCTCCCACCCGAGGACGAAGGGCGTCAGAGTCTCCCCAGCCCGGCGGGTCACGCGACGTCTGACTCAGGCGCGGGCGGAAGGGGCGCGGCAGCTGCGGCCTTTTCCTGAAGGTGGGCGGAACAGAGACGCCGCCCTGGGGGGGTCCCGCGAGACCCCGGGGACGGGGCTGAGAGAGCTTCCACGCCAGACCCGAGGGGCGGCCGGGCAGGACGTGGCCGTGGTCAGACTGAGCCCTGAGAAGGGGCACTCGGGTGCCCGGGTCGGGGGTCCGCGGGACCCCCACTTCGGCTGACGGGGGCCTGTCCGGCTCCTCGCGCTTCCTCTGGCGCCCCCATTCGCGGGTGGGCACTCCCCAGTGGAGAGGCCAGGGGAGGGGCCCCGGGCAGCCGCAGCTTAAGGTCAAGGTTCGAGGGAGCCCCGATTGTCAGTCGGCGGGGGCTCCAGCGGGCGGCGCCACCCCGCCTGCCCCCAGGCCCCGCCCTTTGACAGGGGAGACGTGAGAAGCCCCCGGCCCGCCCGGGTGTCTGAGGGGAGGGAAGGAGCTACCGTCTCGTCGAGGGAAGGTGGGTGGGGGTCGACCCGTCCCTGAAAACACTGTGAGGGCCGGGGAGGGGGGCGGCGAGGTCCCGCCGGCTCGGGGAGACGCCACGCCCTCCTCTCCTGAGTCACGCGGGCGGCGGGGAGCGGCCTTCACAGTACCCGGCGCATCCCGGGCCGGGGCGGCGGGAGGGCCCCACCCAGCCACAGGCCCTCCGCTCTCCTCCCCGAGCGCCTGCTCTGCGTTTAACACCATTGAAAGGGAAAAAAAACAAAACAAAAGGAGGGGAACAGGAAAAAAAACCCAACAGCAAAAACCTTATATAAAAAGACCCCCGAGCTGAGCTTAGCGCCTCGGAATCCAGCCGGGGGAGGGCAGCCCGCTGGTCACCCGCGAGCAATAGCTTAAAAAAATCTTTAGACTTGACGGGGTGAGGGGCGGCCTATGTACAAAGGGAAGGAGAGGATCACGCGTGGTCTCCCACCAGGACCACGGGGGCCGCGGACAGGCTGGCTCGCTGCCGCCGCTGGGCCAACTTGGACTGGGAGGGCGGGGACAGCTGCAAGCAGCGTGAGGTAGCTCGGATGACCACGGGCTGCTCCTGCCCCGCCTCCTCGGCCGCGTCCTCCTCGCGCTGGGCCAGCTGCCGGTTCATGGCAATGGCCTCGGCCGCGAACGACGTGAGGTCTTTGGCGCAGCTGTTCCTGGGGACAGGGTGGGGGGTCAGCAAGGGGGGGTAGGTAGCCGCCGGCCCGTCCCCCCTGCTTCCCTCGGGACCCCCGGGGTCTGTGCAGTGCCCTGGGGGAGGGGCTGCACGCCCCAGGAAGCCCCAGACTCCGCAGGGGGCGGGAGGGGCCGGCGGACTGGAATTCGCGGTAGGGTCACAAACTCATCACCCAGTACAAGGACACCCAAGCGCTTGGACGGCTTCCCCCGCCAAGACTGAAAGAGGATCGTGTAGTCTTCTTTAAACATCTTAACATTTAGCGCCCCCTCCTGGACCCGGGGCTCCCCGCTCGGAGCCTGAGATCCCACACGGGCCTCACCTCTGCAGGACCATGGGCGTGGGCAGGGTGTTCTCCGGGGCGCACTGCAAGGAGACAGGAGAGGTGAGGCTGGAGAGCAGAGCCCGCCCGCCTCGAGGCGCCCAGCTGGCTGCGACAGCACCGGGGGTTAAGGCGGTGCACCTGCCCGGGAACCGAGCCAGGCTGGGGGGAGGGGCGCGGCCCGAGCCGGGCGAGCGTGGTGGACGTTGCCAGACCGCGTGATGGGCGGGGCCTGCCTCTCACCAAAGCTGCCCCAGTTCCCAGCAGGGGTTGGGAGCCCGCTCCAACAGCCCATCTGCCTTGACAGTGGGGCCCCAGTCTTTGCTCCCCACAGTGCCAACTTGTATTTTTGTTAAGCCCCCTGCCCTGTTGGCCTAGGCATCTGCCCCGCCAGGACAGCAACTGGGCAGAAGAAACAGCAAGCTCTTCTCAGCTTGGTGGGGACAGAGCCTTGGACGGGGGGTGGCAGGCCCCCGCCTGCCACCTGGCTGACCTCAGCTTGACACTCTGTTCCAGGTGAGAAGAGGCCCCTGCGCCTCCAGGACACAGGGCCTGGTGACTCACTGAGAAGCAGCTCCTGCAGTCCCAACTCAACCTGGCCAGCAGGCAGTGGGGGCCTCCCTGCTGCGCCCTTGCCCGCTCTGGGGGGTCTCGATGCTGAGCCGCCTAGGGCTGTCGTACCCTTGTGCTCTGAGTCACCCCAGCCCAGTGGCAGAGGCTGGAGGCCAGCCGCCCCCCAGGCCTCCCTGGTGCTCCCACTCACCCCCTGCACCCAGGGGTGCTGCAGGACTTGGGCAGCACTCAGCCTCTGCTTGGCGTCACGGACGAGGAGCTTGGAGATGAGGTCTTTGGCAGCAAAGGAAATGTGGGCCCAGTCCTTCTCCGGAAACTCGTACTTGCCCTCCTGGATGCTCTCAAACAGCATGTTCTGGAGGGAACATGGAAGGTGGGGTGAGCTGCAGCCAGCAAGGGCTGAGGCCACGTCGCAGACGCCTGGCAGGCCTGGACCCAGAAGAGCACCGATGAGTGACAAGTTCTGTCAGGGTCCCCAGCCTCCACCAGCTGCATGTGACCTGGGCCCAGGCTTAGGGTCGGGGAAAGTGCCCTGAGCTCAGCTGGCAAGGCCAGGGGATCTGGCAGGCCAAGGAGGGCAGGGACCCACCCAACTGGCGGTGGCTGGGAGGCTGGGCCAGAGAGTGGACTCGGGGAGGCACTTGGTGGGCTCTGCTTAAGTGGGGCCCGATTTACTGAAGGGTGGCTCTGGACGGCCAGGCTCTGGGGGGATCAGGCCATGAAGCCTGAGCCTCACATGGTGGGTAGAAGGCTGGAACCTGGCCACCTCAAACCATAGGCCTCGCCCCACCTCAACTTCCTGACCCCTGACTGCTTTCTCCTGTTGGGCTGGGGAACCCAACAAGCCTCTAGAAACCCAGAAAGGTCAGGCCAGCAGTGGCCTGTGGATGTTGTCAGTGGTTGGAGGCCAGGCCCTTAGGGGTGCTCAGGGGGGTTCACAGGCCAGCTCCTCCAGGGTGGGGGGTAGCTGTGTGCATGGACCAAGCCTTGGGGTGCACTGGGCAGGCAGGGGTGAGAGTGCACGTGTGTGTGTGTGTGTGTGTGTGTGTGTGTGTGTGTGTGTGTGTGTGTATGCCGAGGCAGGCCAGACGCGGTGCTCGGGGGAGGGGTGCACGGCAGGACCCCACTGGCACCTGGCAGGCCGGGCAGGCCTCGCCGCGGTCCCAGCCGCAGTCGCTGCCGCAGTGGCCCACGAAGGGCGGGTAGCCGCTGAGCAGGATGTAAAGGATGACGCCCAGGCTCCAGAGATCGCAGCGCTTGTCATAGATGCTTGCCTCCTCGCTGAAGGCCTCCACCACCTCCGGGGCCATGTACTCGGCGGAGCCGCACTGCGGGCGGGAGCGGGGGCGTCAGGGCCCGCGGAGGGGGGATAGGGGGGCGCCCCGACAGGGACTTCACGGAGCCCAAAGCCAGACAGCCCTGACCGACCAATCACAGGTTGCTGAGGGAGCCAGCCCCGCCTTCGCCCTGCCGGCCAATCACAGGCTGCTGAGGGATTCGGCCACGCCCCCAACCCCCCCGCCCAATCAACAGGTGCCGGGAGCCCGCCCAGCCTCACCGCGCCCGACCACGGCCCCGCCCAGCCGCTCTGCCCGGCCAATCAGCGGCTGTTGCTAAGCGGAAGCCAGAGTTCCGAGGCCCGAGCCGCCAAGCAGGCTCCGCACCTCGAGGTTATGCAACTGTAGCCTGGCACCGGATTCGGGGGCCATTCCCGCCCTTTCCGCCCCTGCCAGCTACCCCTCCCCCCCGCACCCCACTCGGGGCGCCCTGACCCCGCAGGCCCTCACCGGGGTGAGCAGCTCCGGGGTGGAGATGGGGGAGCAGTCCCCGTTGAGTTTGATGCCACTGCCCAGATCAAAGTCACAGATCTTCACGGGGGACACCTGGGCAGGGTCAGAAGGGGCTGTGAGGGTGGCGTCCCGACCCTGGGGGCCCTGGCCCGCAGGAAAGGCCACCCCCCGGTGCCCCTCACCTGGTTGGGGTGCTCACAGAGGATGTTTTCCGGCTTTAGGTCCCTGTGGGCGATGCCTGCAGGAAGAACCAAGAACCACGAGGGCAGGTCAGGGGTCCATGGGTGGGTGGACACATCTTCCAGGAGTCCTGGCCAGGTGGGCTGGGCGCAAGGCTAGACACCCAGGGACCCCTGGGGCAGACAGAGTGGCCACTCACCTTTGTTGTGCAGGAAGTCCAGGGCGCTGGCCACATCCTGCACCACCACGCTGGCCTCCAGTTCGTTAAAGTGCCGCCGCTTGTGTATGTGGCTCAGGATGGAGCCTGGGCCAGGCCATGGAGCAGAACACACAGGGGTCACCTCCACTGCCCAACGGCCAGCACCCACCCCACCCTGGCAGGGAAGCCCCCACTCCGGCCTCCTCGGGTCCAGAGTCCTCCAACCTGAGCTGGCGTGTGGACCCCACAAGGCCCCTCTGATGTGCAGGCCCCCCTGAAAGGTTCTCCCTGGTGGCCCTAAACCCCCGGCCCATTAAGATCAGATGGAAAAGCCTGCCAGGCCCCACGTACCGCCCCGCATCTTCTCAAACACCAGGTAGAAACGGTCGTCTTCCTCAAAGAACTCAATCAGCTCTAGAACGTTCCTGGGGTGGGGGCAGGGAGGTGGGGGAGGAGTGAGGCTTCCTCAGGCCTGTGGGCAGCCACAGAACTGCCCAGCAGGGGCCCGCCTGCTCCACCCCACCTACCCACAGGAAGGCTGCGCCCGGGGCCACGGGCCTGCTTCCGCCTTGCCTGCCTCGGACTGTCAGCCTGCCTGCCACTGGGCCCACCCACAATGCCCAGCACAGGGCCTGGCACATTGTGGGTGCTCACTAAGTGCTTGCTGGGGGTGATGAGGCACTCGGGCCCATTCAGCCACTGAAAGATGGCTCGGGGCCCAGTGTTGTGAGGGTAGGTCACATTACCTGTGTCCCTGGCACTGATACAACATCTCCACCTCCCGGAAAACCCTACTCCGAATGTGGCCCGGCTGCTTCTCAATGATCTGAAATGTCAGCGGGGGGAGGACACACACACAGACACCAACTGGGTCAGCCAGACCCCCTACAGCCTGAGACCCGCCCCCCCTCCCCTGCCAGAAACTTCCCCTGTCAGAAACTTCTCCTGTGTCACGCGTGAAGCTCGTCAGAGCTTAGATTTTGAAGTTCTGGAAAGCGGAGCTATCCTATGGGGGCCCAAAATTTACTGAAAGTCAATACTGTGGTGTCAGAACAAACTGGGGGCAATGTGTTTCCCCAGAGGCATCGCAGGAGGGGCGAGCGGGACAGGAGCCGGTAGCTCTCCACCCCTGACTGCCACAAGCCTTGGGGTGTATTTGGGGCCTGGAGCCCCTGCAAGATACTCCTTCAGGGCAGCAGGTTCCTTAGCCTAGCGGCCTGCTCTCCCTGACCAGGAGACTGGGGGCCACTGTGCTGGCTCACACACCACCCAGGGGACTGGAGGGGCCTAGGGCGCCTGGCTGCCAGCCAAGACATCCCATTTGCCTGGGAACCAGTCTGGACAGATGCCCCAGCCCCGTAAGCCCAAGTCTGTTTCAGGCCAGGTCAGTGGGCACAGCTGCCCAGGACCCCAGAGCCTCAGGAAACCAGCCCACGCCTCTGCGCCCACCCCCCTCTGGCACCCAGGAGCTCTAAGGACAGGAGGGTTCTGGGCCCACCGCCTGGGGTGAGCCGCTTCGCTCCCAGAGAGGGGAGGTCAAAAAGCACGTGCCAAAAAAAAAAAAAGAAGTGCGTGCCAGCTCTTTCCCAGCAAAGCCAGGCCGCACACACCTCCTGGGAACCTCTTCCCAGGTTGGACCTAGGGCCCCCTCTCACTAGGTGGGTGGGCGGCCTGGGTCACCACTGTGCCCAGGGCTCCCGGCCCACCAGCAGCCTGGGGGAGGGGACGTGGTGTGCTCCACTGGCCAGGCTCCAGCAGCAGGCGGGCACGCACATCCACTGGTCACTGGGGCTCGGCCACCACCCTAAGCACTGTCCGACCTGTCTAGTGACAAATACACCTGCCCCACAGAGGGGCAGAACCACCAGATGCCAGGGCTTCTTGAGATAATGCCAGCAGCCGTGCCCTGGAGTTACCTGAACCTCATTCCATCCCTTGGGAATGTGGCTAGGGCCCCCCACTCCACGGAGGAGACAGCGGTCCCTCTTGAGAGGGGACGGCCTTCTGAGGGGTCACACACGGTACAACTAACCCAACCCTCTGAGCCTTGGTTTCCCTGTCCGTCAGAGTGACAGAAGCCAGGCTGCCCAGCAGGGGCCTTAGGAAGGAGGACACTGACCGTGCAGAATGTGCTTGATGCCTGCTAGGTGTGCAGTCCTATGGCACCATCACCCACCCAACCCGGTCGCTCCCAGGGGGTGGGGACCACAGCCACCCTGGTCACCACGCTTCCACCAGGGCCTGAGGCTTCCGGGCCAGCCCGCTTGCCACTGTGCACCTGGCCCTCCTTCCTGGGCAGCCAGCCTCCCGTTACCCCACCCAGCCCAGATGCAGGGTCACGAGGGAAGCCTGGAAGGCTTTTTGGAACGCAGGGTCTGACGCCCAGCCAGGCAACGCAGGCTGCGCAGGCGCACACTGGGTCAGAGGCGGCCCAGGGCTTGCAGGACGCTCTTGCAGGCCTTCCCTGGTCTCCCCTGATGCCCAGCTCCCCCAGGGCCCCGAATAGGGCATTGCCTTTCAATGTTTGTAACCAGTACAGGGAAGCATTCGTCATCCCTGGGGACAGGGGCCTGGCCCGAGTGACCCAGCAGGTGAGCATCAGCTCTGACTGAAGCCCCCAGTTCTCGGCGGTCCCTCTGGCACCAGGTCCTTGGCCACCTGTGCAGCGGGGCCACCCCTTGTCACTTCTCACCCAGACTTGGGGGCTCAGCCCAGGCTGACCTGGATTCCCAGGTGTGGCCTGAGTCACCAGCCTTGAGGCCATTTTTAGACACTGGTTTTCCCCGCCTGCCAGTCCGGAAGCTCAAATGCCAGCTCCCCTCCTTTTGCCACCCCTGGAGGGTGCCAGATCCCAGGCACGGCTGGGGAGGGGCGAGGGGGCCGCCCAGGTGCTGGGGCCTGTCTCACCTTGACGGCATACTCCTGGCTGGTGATGAGGTTGACGCAGGTCTGCACACGGGCATGGGCACCCTCCCCAAGCACGTCCTCCTGTAGCTGGTAGACGTCTGTGGAGCAGGGGGCCGGTGAGAGCCACCCTGGGCCGGCCCATCTCCCCGACGCCGCTGCCCCCGCCGGCCCCACTCACCTTCGAACCTGCCCGAAAAGCTGTCGGTGGCCCGGCATCTCTTCTTCTTCTTGCTCCTTTTCTTGGCATCGGGGATGTCGATGGGCTGGCTTGCAGGCATATCTGTGCAGGGGGAGCTGGAGGTGAGGCCCGCCTGGCTCAGGAGGTGGCCCAGCCCTCCACCACCGCCAGAGGCTCGCCCTCCCCTCCAGCCCCTCACCAGGGCGGGCCGGGCACTCCAGGACGAAGTCAGGCTCCCCGTGGTGGGCCTGGTCTAGGGAGAAGGCCAGTTCGAAAGGATTCTGCCCCTGCAGGAGAGGAGAGGACAGAGCTCAGGCCCCAGCCCTGCGGGGCAGCTGCACCCAGAGTGCCCCAGTCTCCACGTCCGCATGCTGCGGAGCAGAAAGCCTGGCTCTGCCTGACCACAAGGAAATGGACCTTTCACCCCCAGCCCAGGGCCCTCGGGGCCTCTGGGGAGGCGGTGTGGTATGGGAAGAGGCCAGACGCAGGCAGGGGAGGGGGTGCCGCCTCCCAGGCCAGGCCTGAGTTGCCGTGGGGCACCAGGCCACGTTTTGAGCCTCGGTTTGCTCACCTGCAGGATGGGGCCAGCACCACAGCATGGCTGACCGCCCGCGCCCCTGCCGCGCCCCCGGCCGCAGGGATCAAAGGCGCAGGGCAGCCAGTGGGAGGGAGTGAGTCAGCGGCTTCCCGGAGCGGGGCTCCCAGCCAGGCGGCCCTGCCTGCTTTCCCATGGCTTCCTGGTCTCAGTCTCCCCTCTGTGTAATGGGGCACCACTGCCCTCCTTGCCTCTCACTGTCCGCTCATCCCCACTGCACCTCCCGGCCCGAGACGATTCCCGCCACCACACCTCTGCTCCTGATGCGCCCACAATGCGCCCCGTCCCCCAGCTCTGCGCCTCTCTCCTGGTCCGACCCCCTCGCTCATCTGCTTCCAGCTCCGCACCGCTGGGACCCGGCTCCGGGGTATCACGGGAAAGGCACCTGCGGTCTCCCGCGTGAGCACCGGGCCGCTCCCTCGCCCGGCCACAGCCGCACTGTCCCATGTACCCTCAGACACACCAGGATGGAGCCCCTCACAGGCCGTGGTGTCCAGCTAAGGAAACAGCCCTTGAGCAGGAAGGGGCCTGCTCAAGGTCACCTGACAGCCCCCGGGACTGGGGCGGGGTGCGTGGGATCCTAACAAGGGAACGAAGGCAGCTGGGGTTCCTCCAGTTTCTGCGGATCCAGCGTGAGGACTGGCAGCCCCCGGCAATGCACAAGGCTGAGGCTTTAAGGCTGAGGCTCTGAGGCCCCACCGTGTTTCTCTAGGAGTTTACTCTCATTTAGCTCCCCGAATCCTGGGGGTCCAGGTGGCCAGGGCTTCAGGTGGGCGTGGGGGCCCTGTACAAACAGCAGTGGCTCCAGCTCTGATGCTGGAGGACCTGGGTCAAGTCACTGCCTCTCTCTGGGCCTTGGGACAAGGGGAAGCAGGTCTCCAGCAGGAGGGCCATCTGGCAGAGAAGGAACTCTGGGAGAGCCCCAGGGAGATACCCAGGGGCCTAACAGCAGAAGGGGCCAGGCCAGATTCCTGCAGACGGGAGGCCCGGAAGCCAGTCCGGCAGCACAGGGGCAGGCAGAGGTCACAGGGAGCGGCTGAAAAACAGGCGTGGGCCCTCCCGGCCTCGCCACCCACCCGCCCTGCAGATAGTTGCTAGGAGGCCCAGCGGGCGGGGGAGGGGAGGAAGGCGGCGCTCCAGCCTGTCGGCGCAGGATCGTCCACCAGCACCTGCCTCTGCCGGCCCAGGGGTCCGGCACCCCCGGGGAGCCAGGCACACGGCTGTGCCAGTACCGGCAGTCAGCGCTCTGAGAAGGCTCAGTCCAGGGGCGTCTGGAGGCGCCAGGTGACGCCCTCCTCCCAGAAGGAGGGGCCCCAGGGTGGCAACGTGGGGGTGATCAGGAGGGAGGGTGGACGTGAGGCTCGGGGCCAGCGGCGGCCCTCACCAGCTACTTCACCTCGGCCTAGTGACCTCAGCTCCGAGCCTGACCAGCACCCAGGGGTGACTCGAAAGGACCACGTAAGGGCATGAGGACCTCAGGGGGCCTGTCACCGACCCCACACCCCTGTGCCAGCCTCCAATGCAAAGAGCTGGACCCTGGAGAGAAGGGGCGGCTAAGCCACCAAGGTGAAGGGACACTAGCCATGCCAGCTCCTGTGTCCCTGTCACCACGTGCGGGGGGTGCTAAGACAAATGCCCACGCTGTCCAAGGCTCCACTCTCCCATGTGGAAATGGGGAAAAATACATCAGAGACACCTGGCAGACGCTGCTGCCAGGCTGAGGGGAGGGAGGTGGCTGCGGCCCGAGGAAGCTTGGGGTGCAGCGGGAGGAGACACGTAGCGAGGCCGGCCTCTGGCCACCAGGAGGGCCACCTCAGAGCCAGCACTCCCGGCCCAGTGTCCCTCCAACTCCCTCAGGACTCCCACATTCCCACCTCAGCGCTGGGCTCTCGCACGGCCTGCAGAGGCCAACCCATAGTACCAGGCAGTGTTGCCAGGCCAGGCCCAGGGCTGGCTGTGGGCCTCCAGTCAGCAGGCCTTGGCAGGACGTGGCTGGAACCATCCAGAAAGTTCGACTTTGCTTTGGCCACTGTGCCGGCCCCACGCGCTGACCCCATCTCGGCTCCCACCCAGCCCCCAGAGGGGACAGACCACCACCAGTGACGTCTCAAGTCCACCCTGCTCCCGCCCTGCCCTGAACACTTGGACGTGCCAAGGCTGTGGCTGCCCTGGGGGGAGAAGCCAGAATGACAGGCGTGTGGGCAGGGGTGGGGCGCTGGCCCAGGACGCTGGCTGGATGGGCCTGGGAATTTTAACCCAAACAGTCTCAGCTCGCTCCTCCCACCCTGGTGTGCAGTTCGCCTGTAGGCGCGCGCGTACTCACACACTCACACATGCACATACACCCAGGTCTTGCCTTCTCTAGAGGGCAACAGGTTCTTGCCCAAGAAGGCCCAGGGAAGCCATTACATAACGCGGCCAGCGGGGTGGGGTGGCCGCTGACATCACTGTGTCCCCTGGGCCAGGCCCTGTGGGGTCCCTGCCTAGCACCTGCCTGCCCCCCCCCCCAGGCTCGCTCATCTGAGACTAGAACTGCGGCGGCCCCATGCCACAGCCGTGGGGCCCGCCGCAGAAACTTCCTGCTCCGACAGGAAATAGCCTTGGGCCTGGGGTGTCTGGGAGGTGCTGGGCTGGAAGGGCATCCAGTCCACTGCCCCATTCTGCAGACCACCCAGGAGTGTGTAGGGGAGGCCTGCAGCCCTGCCTGGGGTTCCAGAAGGAAGGGCCCCGCAGACCCCCGCAGGCCCCATGACGCTGGGGACCGGACTGTGGCCTGCTGACAGTCCCCAGCAGTGCACACTCGGCTGGGCTCTGCTGGGGACACACAGCCAGGGGCCCCCACGGGCAGGACGCCCCTCAGCCCTGCCCGGGGTTCCTGGAGGAAAGACCCCAGAGGCCCCAGGGCGCTAAGGACTGTGGCCTACTGAACTCCCCCCTGCTCACCATACCAGCACATGCCTGGCTCGGGTCGGCAGGGGACACATATGTAGGGGTCCCCAACCCGGTTTGGGGCTTCTAGAAGAAAGACCCGACAGGTCCCAGGGTGCTTGAGATTGGACTGTGGCCTGCTGACACCGCCCCCCCCCCCCGACAATGCACACCAGGCTGGGGCAGCTCCAGGCGAAGGGTGGGGAGCTGGCACGAGCCCCAGTGGGTATCCTGGGGGGCGGGCTCCGCGTCCCGCCACCGGCCACTCGTGTGGTCCAGCCCGGGGCGGCCCCAAGACGACCCGGCCCTCACCTTGAAGGAACGGTGGAAGCCCTGAAGTTCGGCTGTTTTCTTCTGCACCATCTTCTGTCCGGGCCCCGCCAGCGGGGGAGGGGACGCGGGGCCCGGGGGGCGGCCCGTGGGCGGGGGGCGGCCGGTGAGGGGACCCTGTGGGCGGGAGCAGACAAAGGAGGGCGTTGAGTGGCCGCGGCCGGCGCGCCGGGAGCCCGGGCCAGGGCGGCGAGGCTCCGTGGGGCCCGCTCTCCGCGTCAGGGTCGGGGTCGGGCCGGGGTCGCTGGGCCACACTCACCGGGGTCGGGCTCGGGCCGGGGCCGCAGTGCCGCCGCCCGAGACGCGCAGCCCGGAGCCCGCTGCGCGGACCGCGCGGGGAACAGCGCCGCCGCCGCCGCCGCCGCCGCCGCCACCGCGGACTCCTCCGCTAAGGCCGCCACCGCCGAGAGGAGCCGGGCGGGCCGCGTCGCCGCCACTTTTATAGGCCAGGCTCGCCACCGCCCCCCCACCCCCCCGCCCCCGCCCCCGCCCCGACGCAGACCCCGCCCCTCATGGCTCCGCCCATGCACGCACGGCGGGGGCGGGACTGGAAGGCCTCTCTGGCGGCGGGGCGTGTCTGCGCGCCTGCGCCGTGTGGTGCGCGGGGTTCGTGGGGCGGGACCCGGGAAGGGTCCTGGCGGGCGTGGGCAGGGTTGCCGGAGGCTCCGGGAGGCCCGCAGGACCCTGACACTGAGCCCAAGCCCGGCCCTGACCTCTGGCAACAACCGCAGTCTGTCGGCCGGGGCCTAGAATACACTGACTCCTTTGGGCGACACCCCTGCTCTAGAACCTGCCATGGCTCCCTCTTGCATCTCTGTTCTAGGATCTGCCATGGCTCTCTTTTTGGGTTTCCCGATCCTGGCCCCAGCTGTCGTGCAGGCGCACCCAAACAGGCTTATAGGCCCAGCTGCCTCCCCAGGTTGCTTCCCAAGAGTTCACGTGATTGTTGGCTGGGAAAGGGGACCACATTAGGGGGTGGGGACAGACCTGTGAAGGACTGTCCTCCCGTCCTGAAAAGGAGTGCTTCGCCTGCCTGATGGGGAGAAAGCCCAAGGGGTGGGGGCGACCAGGACGGGAGGCAAAACACAACCCCATTTTGGCTGGGGCCCCTGACCCAGGCTCTGAGAGAATCAGTCAGCTCTCTGTCCCCGCAGCCCAGTGGTGCATGGTCCTCAGACCCGTGTCTGGACTCTTAGTGTTACAGGCCTGCGGAGTGAACTGTCCTCCCTCTCCTCCAGGCCCCAGCCTGTCCTTTCAGAGGCTTCCCACCACCCACCCCCAACTGTCCCCCAACGAGGCCTGAGCTGGACCGTCCCCTTGCCTGTTAGGCTACCTCTATTTCTGTGCTGCCCCCCAAGGCCACAGCTCAGGCCACAGGAGCTGTAAGACCTGACCTCAGCCAGCTCTGGGGTGTTTGGAGGGACCTGCAGGGAGCTCCCCGGCCAGCCCCCAGCCCTCCCCTGCCCCGTGCGTGTGTGTGTGTGTACGTGTGAGTGTGTGTGTGTGTGTGTGTGTGTGTGTGTCTGTAGACACACGTTGGCTCCAGGTGCTGGGGTGGGGCTGCTGGACTTGCCTGCCCAGGGGAAGCCTCAGGCTCCTTCCTCATCATCCCCACCCCCCTCCTTACCGGGCTGTCCCTCTCTGTGTGTACACCGTCACCTGCAGGTCTTCATGTGCTTCTGGATGGCATGGGTGTGTACAGATGCCCCTCGCCAGAAGGCCAGCTCTGAGAAAGCCCAGATCCCCGCACTGCTGGTCCAGCACCCAGCACAGGGCCTGGCACACACACAGGAAGTGCTCACTGAATAGTGCTGAAAAGAAAGGATGTATTTAAGCATGTGTGAGTGCGTATGTGCATGTCTGTGTGCACGCATATAGGGGTTGGGTAAGGTCTGAGCTTCCTGAGGCTGCTTCTGGAGCCCAGAAGTCTGAAATCAAGGTGTCATCAGCAAAGCCACACCCTCTCTGAAGGCTATAGGGGAGGATCCTTCCTACTTGTTCCAGCTTCTGGTGGTTGCTGGCAATCCCTGGTGCTCCTTGGCTCATGGCCTCATCACCTCAACTCTGCCTCATTGTCACGGGACCATCTTCTCTGTCTGTGTCTCTCCTCTCTCCTAAGGACACCAGTCATTGCATTAAGGCCACCCTAGGGACTTCTCTGGAGGTCCAGTGGTTAAGACTCCGTGCTTCCAGTGCAGGGGGCACAGGTTCGATCCCTGGTCAGGGAACTAAGATCCCACCTGATGCAACCAAAAAAAAAAAGGCCACCCTAATCTAGTACAACCTCATCTTAATTTGATCACACCTGCAAAGACCCTGTTTCCAAATGTCACATTCACATGTTCTGGATGTTGGGACGTGGACATATCTTTCTGAGGCACGCAGTTCAGATCAGACAGGAAGGGGACCCACTTTCTGGTGTGTGGCTGTGATACATCCTATCTCCTGGTGCGGGTGTTTAGCTGTGTCCATCCTCATGTGTGTATCCATGGGGGTTGCCGGTCACGCTGACCTCAGGGAATAGAAATGAACTTAGGTCTTGCTTCAAGGCCATATTCCTCGGTCCAGCCGAGCTCAGTTCCTGGGCAGCCTGATTTGGGAGTCCGGCTGGTGGGGGTAGATTTTTTTTCCCAAAGCCAGAAGCACCATCCAGCCCTGGGCGCTGCTCAGAGGAACTGCCTTACCCTCACGCAGCCTGGACAGATGGTCCCTTGCTGGGCCCAGTACCACAGGTTGGGAAACAGGAAGCTCAGAGATGGGAAGATGACCCCCGGGCCTTTGGGGTCCTTCCACCCAGCCCTGCTGACATCTGGGGCCTGGATCATTCTCTGTGTGGGGCCGTCCTGGGCACTGTGGGCTGTTGAGTGGCATGCCCACCCACTCAATGCCAGGAGCCCCCCCAGTCATGACGACCACAAATGCCTCCAGACACCGCCCAGCATCTCCTGGGGGGAGGATCACCCCCTAGGTAAGAGCCACTGCTTCTGCCCACTGGATGCACTGAGTCCTGCCATCCCCCCACCCCGTGTGTGAGGAGGGTGGCCACCAAGGGAGCACTTGTGTGAGTGCTGGGAGGGGTCCTGGTGCACACACGGGCTCTTCAACCAGGGTAGGGGCCATACGTGTGTGTGCACACACATGGGCTTCTGTGTTGGAAACACGAGTGCCTGCATGTGTGCGTGTGTCCATGGGTGCATACAGGCATATGCATACAGTCGCCACACGTCCCCCCAGGAACAGGACAGGTTGGAGACTCACCCAAGCCCTCAGGAGGCACCTAAGCCCCCAGGGCTGAGAAGTGGGATTGGCCTTGGTGCGGGCCCCTGTGGGTGCCTGGGCTGTGGTAGCCAGGGCGAGGCAGCCAGGCCCAGCCCCAGCCCGGCCTGCACTAGGTGGGGGTAGGGTACTGCTAGTGGGAATGGGGGAGCGGAGGGACCTCTGTGCCTGGCCTGCTGGCTCTGGGGCCTCAGCCCTGTCCTGCCACAGGCCGGCTGCCAGACCCAGCCAATTCTGTCATCTTCCTTGACCTCATGTACAGGCCGAGCTCCCAGAGGTGCTGGGCGCCCAGGGGCTGGGAGGTAGCTGGGGGCCTGGCCACGCTGCCTACCTTACCTTGGGCCCCAGGAGTCTTGCCTGACACTGGGCGATTGAGCCAGAAAACCTGGGGCCCGGCCCCTCCTCCTCTTGCCAGCCAGTTTCTTCCATCCCTTCGGAGTGCATTCGGGGTTGGGGCAGTGACACAGTGAGGGGCAGGTCCAGCAGGGCGAAGGACGACACAGAGCAGTGGGCAGGACAGGCAGAATCCAGGGCAAGGATACTCCCGCCACCCAAAGGATAGCATGGGAGCTGGCCAGCTGCAGAAGGGGGCTCAGGATTGCTCTGGGGGACTTGGAGTTGGCAGGCGCTGGCCTGATAAAGAAGGACAAGGCTTCTGCAGCAGTTGGAGCAATTCCCTGGCTCCAGGGCCTTCCCCTCCCCTACCCCAGCTTCCCCTGGGATACCCTAGGGGACCAGGAGGACAGGGGTGCTGGCCCCCATCTTCCACCCCAGTCATGGAGGGGACTTGGCAAGCCTTAGGCCAAAGGGGCAGAGAATCAGCTTTCTGAGAAGCCCCTACCTTCTGCAAGGTGACTCTCTTCCCATGTTGTATATGGTCTCCCCCAAACCCCAGAGGAGACACGAGGCAGGACATGATGCTGAGCCCTAGGGCCTCTGCTTCCCCTTACCTCCTATGAGCCAGAAGGCAGGCTGGCTGGCTGGGTGGGGTCCATTCTGACCACCTTCCCCTGGGTCTGGTTGGGCAGCCAGAGCCCTGGCATCCTGGGGCCTCAGTCGTGTAGAGTTCACCTCCTGGACGGCATCCAAGGGACCCCAGGACAGCTCAGGGCCTCGAAACCCAGCAGGTGGAGCCCCCAGATTTAGCAAATAAAAATACAGGACGCCAAGTTAAAGCTGAATTTCAAGGCTTCCCTGGTGGCGCAGTGCTTCAGAATCTGCCTGCCAATGCAGGGGACACGGGTTTGAGCCCTGGTCCGGGAAGATCCCACATGCCGCGGAGCAACTAAGCCCGTGCGCCACAACTACTGAGCCCGCGCTGTGCAACACGAGAAGCCACTGCAATGAGAAGCCCGCGCAAGGCAACGAAGAGTAACCCCTGCTCGCCGCAACTAGAGAAAGGCTGCACGCAGCAACGAAGACCCAAAGCCGCCAAAAATAAATAAATAAAATAAAAAAAGATTATAAAAAAAAAAAAAAAGTTGAGGGCTTCCCTGGTGGCGCAGTGGTTGAGAGTCCGCCTGCCGATGCAGGGGACACGGGCTCCTGCCCCGGTCCGGGAGGATCCCACATGCCGCGGAGCGGCTGGGCCCGTGAGCCATGGCCGCTGAGCCTGCGTGTCCGGAGCCTGTGCTCCGCAACGGGAAGGGCCACAACAGTGAGAGGCCCGCGTACCACAAAAAAAAAAAAAAAAAAAAGTTGAATTTCAGATAATGAATAACTTTCCAGTGTAATTCCCAGGCATAAGTATATTCCATGCATAAGTATATACAAAACAATTATTCTTTGTTTATCTGAAATTCAGATTTAAATGTGTGTCCTCTAGTTTATCTGGCAAACTTACCAAGGGGTAATGGTGAGACCTTTGTCTCCCACCATTATTTATTTATTTATTTTTATTTTTGGCTGTGTTGGGTCTTTGTTGCCGCGCGTGGGCTTTCTCTAGTTGCGGGAAGTGGGGGCTACTCTTCTTTGCGGTGCACAGACTTCTCATTGCAGTGGCTTCTCTTGTTGTGGAGCACGGACTGCAGGCGCACGGGCTTCAGTAGTTGTGGCTCGCGGGCTCTAGAGCGCAGGCTGCAGGCGCACGGGCTTAGTCTCTCGGTGGCATGTGTGATCCTCCTGG